GTGTGTCTGTGTGTGTCTGTGTGTGTCTGTGTGTGTCTGTGTGTGTGTGGCTGTGTGGGTGTCTCTGTGTGTGTGTGTCGGTGTGTGTCGGTGTGTGTCGGTGTGTGTCGGTGTGTGTCGGTGTGTGTCGGTGTGTGTCGGTGTGTCCTCATTTCGGCTCGCGCCTATAATCCCTTTCCCCGGATGTTGCTAATCAATCGGGGAACAGTCTTGGTTTCGGGCGGACTGGAATTTCAAAATTACTGGTCTCGAACTGAAGTTTGAGGAAGACATCGCCAAACTGTAACAAGGATGCCGAATAATGTCAGAAGCTGCAGGCTTGTCAATTGCTTGAGTCGAAGCCGCCCCATTCTTTCCCAGTTCAAGGTTGACATGACAATGATTGCAAAGCTTGGTACCCTCAGAACTTATAACCCTGACAAAGTGGGCTAAGCATTACGAATATACAGAACTGGGCTCTTCGACACCAAGTACAAACCCATCAGGCTCCGCTTTAAGGCTTTCCGGGCTGCATCATGTTGGCTACCAAATTTGTCTGAGGAACCCTCCTGTGCAGAACATGACTCCAATATCAAGGAAGTGTGTGCTTTTTAGACAAGACCGGCACAGGTCCAATCCTCGGAATGAACTTTGCAATTGAAACAGAACCAGGTACGGGAACGTCATGTGAGTCATAAGCGAACCCAGGATCACAGAAAACTACATCATGTTCAAAACAAAATAATAAGGATTTACAAGGTTGGCCGCCTGCAGTCATGGTTGGACATGTCGCTTGTTGACATCTAGTTACCCAGGTTCGCTATCAAGCAGAGGCAACCTCCGCGGGGTGAATCGGCTCCGCCGGAGGTGAATGGGTTTGCAGGCCCATATTGGTCGATGTTCAACCCAATTTTGTTTTGCCATCATCACATTAATAAAGGACAAACATGTAATATGCTCCCAAACGCTGCTCCAGCCATGTTTATGTTCAACTCACTTTTAGCAAACACACCCGAAACCAGTCCTGCGAATACGTCTTGAAGAACTTCGGAGTGAAGGAGGTGCGGGTAGGTTCCGGAGCCGCCTCTGGGAGGATTTTCCTCGAGAATCGGCTCGTGGGCCCCGTGTGAAAGTCAGCTCCGCATAGTAAGCTCAAAACAACATGTCGTCGCCGTCCTCAAGGTCATCAAGTAGGTTAGATGGACTATTGATTTGTTTGCGCCGTTCTCAACTAATGCCAAAGCTTTGAATGTTGAAGAGACATGACTTTGCCGTTCTCAAAATCCAACACCCTGATGTTGGCTTTCTCGGAGTCAGCCCAAAGCTTGAGGCTGAAGGAGCGTATCCTAGGCTCATGTAGGGATGGGCAACAAGTGATTGGCCCAACAGAATATGTCGAAAGTGATGGCTTGCTACTATCGTGATCCTCCCCCAAAATCGAGGTGCCACCAGGTCCTCCATCATCTGTGGTAAAACCAAAAGTTAAAGCCTCAAGAATCCAGAACCTGCATGACAGAATTGCCCGGGTTTTGTCCAAGTGTCGGCTGAATGGTCGCTACCTTGGAAATCTCCTTCTCGGCGGGTGGGGTCCGGAGGGACAGCGCAGAGTTCGGGCTGAATGCGCCCCTCGCGTTGTATTTCAGCAACGCCTGGCACGACATGTGCGAAACACTCCCAAAGTGCGGATCAAAGCCATAGTTCGGTTAGGTTGGAATTATTGTTTTGCTATCCAAAGAAAACACAAAGAGTTGATGACTGCCCCTGCAGACCCGAAAAAAAGGGGCATCTTGCAACATTTGGGATCCCGGCTGCTGCATAGGTTCAACAGTCAATTCTCGTCTAACCCACCAAAGCAAAAGGGCCACACGTCTCCTCCATTTGAGAAGAGGACAGGCCAGCCCGGGTCGGTGGGGAGCAATGGTCGGAGTCGGAGCGCTGAATTTGTGGGATATGGTCAACAAGTTGGTTATAGCTGACTCGGTGGAACTCGTCATACTTTGTTTGGTTGTTCTAATCTCACCACTCGTGTAGGCACCACGTATTTGATTAGGTCTGATCAGCCTGGTACAAAACCCAGAAGAAAACAACATAGATGCCTGGTCAATGGGAAGTTGCCACCCATCCTTGGGAAGGACTCAGCTTCATGTGACTCCAGCAATCACTCAGTCCTCTCCTGCAGGTGAAAATAGACGGCACCAAATCTTGAGTCGCGCATAAGGTAAGTTGGTGGCATACCCCACAACCTCTCTCTAATTTAATAGGACTGGACCGTTGCATGGTTCTGGAAAATGACGGTACCAAAGTTTACCATCCCTAAAACTAATCGTATCACTTTGAAGATATTTGCTGTGGTATTGCAGAACACAGCTCTAGAACCAAATGTCAAAGGAGGATCATCATCATGATGATAACGACGATGATGATAATGATGATGATGATGATGATGATGATGATGGAATTAGTACGGCTTACACATGTTCAAGCAGGGTCATTCGGGTTCGAAACAGTTAGTACTTCCGCAAAACCAATGAGTATACCCTCTTACAAGCCGGTATGCGACCAAGCTGAAACCCAAGGCTCTCCCAACTTCTGCAATCCTGCGCTCTGCAAACAGGTTTCCCATGGATTTTTCACCCCGGCCCAGCCCCGCCCTAGGCCAACGCGCCCAACCCCCGCACCTGCAGCGCTCGGTCTTGGGAGTCCAAGGTTTGCATCACCTCGCGGTGCTGGCGCATCAGCAGCAGGCCTCCGGAAAAGGCAGCCAACCATACCAACAATCCCCGAACACCAAATACCAAGCAATCAAACTACGACAGCATTTGCAGAAACCCCAACACCGAACAACAACAAAGCCCAGTAAGCAACGAAGCGGACTTTCTACCGAGCCTCATCAGGAACCTAGGGAGCCACAAAACCTTCCCAAACCCAAACAACGAACCCCAAACCCAAACAACAAACCCCCAAACCCAACAAACATCCCCAAATCCATGTCCGTCGCGAATTTGCCGAGTGCGCCGACCTCAACAAGGGGACCGGGTTTGTAAGCTTTGTATCCACTGTGGGCCCACTGTGGGCCACAGGCAACGAACTAAGTATCGCATAGTTGTTCATTGATTCTGATACGGAACATGAACGACTATGGGGCATTTGGCACTCAACACAGCTTAACCTAGCAAGCACATGTTGCCTTTAAGGCACAATCCGAACAGCATATCAACATCAGTATATGGTATATAGTGATCTCTTCAAACACCACACGCTGGAATGAGCATAAGGAGGGGCCAGTCGAATGTGATTCTAAGTATGGCCCAACATGTCAAGCAAACGAATGAGAAGGGATGTTCCTGAATGATCCTGAATGTTGGGTGCCCATTCGGTGACACGTAATTATTATATATTATTATTGGCCATTGTTTGCCCGCATAGTTGCATTATCACAGAACCACATATTTACCAACATTCTGCTCGCGCGCACATGAGGCGTACAAGAGGCACAGTGATCGAGTCGCTTCAGAGTTCCCTTTCAACCACCAAAAGAAGGTCATTCCCCGACATGACACCCCGATTCGGAACTCGATGTAGGTTGTGTTGCTTGTTTAACAACATTGTTGTATTCTTCTGGCGTGTGATACCAGCAGTTTCAACGACATTATGACAACTAGGGCAGGTGGGGGTTGTGATGCTTTGGAGAAGGTAAGGGAATGGGTTTGCCTCAGCCTTTCCCTTCAGTGCCTCCAATCAAGAATCATTACCTCGACAGCCCACTTGACAGAAGCTTCATGAGCAGGCGTCACGTTTGGGCAAATCCAGGGCCAAGCCGGGCACGTTTTGGAGCGGGAGACTGGGTAAACCCTCCATGACCTCAGCTTCTGTTCAGGTAATCACGCAAAATCATTTTCGTGTGCCCGAGTTTCGCACTTCCTTGTCAAGCACTGTCTACAGCTGGACTTGTAACTACCAATCTTAAGGTGAGCATTGACAAATTCAGAGTTTCAGAGTGGGCTCATGTTGAGTTTCCCTACACAAACAGGTGACGACGTTGCTGCGCACGTCAATTCGCTGAACAAACAAGTCTTGCGGCACATAGAGTTATAACATCTCCAACAGTGCCTTTCACGTGCTTCTCTGCGCAGTAGTATACCGCTTGGAAGCCAAAGGCAACCACTCGCTATGATTCAAGGCGGCATAATCTGAAACCTGCATGGAATTCCGTAAAGCAGTTAGTAAGCAAATCTCAAACCGCTTGCAGAAGAAAAGAGCAACACGACACGCGACCTGTTACACTGTGGCTTCAAGGATCAGTGCCTGAGCAATCCTAACCACTGACACACACCTGCAGGCACGCTCCTGAAGCAAGTTATCCCCGCAAAATCCCCAGCGCTGTAAACTTTAAACTGTTTGGGCAGCATATGCGTCAACTGCAATCCGCGGTCTGCCAAACAGCGTTTGCAATATTCTGCAGAGAAAATCCTAAAGTGCATCCATGTGTGGCCGAGTGCGGAGACGAATGCCTTATCATTGAACGTGACAGCGGCCTCCCAAAGCCGTCTGATTCATTGGATCGATTGAGTTATTCCCACAACAATTGCGGTAGCAGCGTGGGAGAGAAAGCTCTCTTCCCGGACCTCCAAATTATTCCCATGAGACAAACGGGTCACCCTCAAAACAGAAATCCATCAATAAACCAAGAAATGAATCAGAAAGACAAATGCAATAGAAGTATGCTATTGGTTAGCATTTCTCTTCAAGTCGAGCTAAACGAGTGCTTGGAAGCGCGATAAGGTCAAATAGCATGGGAACCATCATAAAATATCCTTACTATTGGTAGTTCCTTTATGTTCTATTGTATGTTGTACAAGTAATTTGTCATTCTAGGAGATGTTAATGAACAGGGAAAAGTGAGTGAGAAGTCAATCATGATGCTTTAATACATGCTGTCTTCATCATTCTAGCAACTTATCTGTTCAAGGATATCTGTCTGATTAAGGGCTCTCCACCATTGGACAGTTAAAGCCTACCACTTTATCATCTTGGCTTCTGGTCAGTCTGCTTTCCTGGAATTATCAACATAAAATAATGGCATGTAAATCATAGAAAGGAAGGACGCATAATATTGGGATGCAATGGTCATATGAATAATAGAGCTTCTTTTGGCAGGTTACCCATCCGTTGATTTGGATCACCAGTAGTTGCCTATTGGCTTGTTGTCTAGCTTTAACTCGCCTTGAAGAGAGACCCACCATTAAACTCAAGATGATACGAATTATTGTAATGTTTGAATGGAAGCATATTGTCATATTTGGTTTGGGATTATGTCCTCATTTATCATTGTCTAGTGTTCGATGTGTTGTTTGCTGCCGGGCAAGCCTCTAGCCAAGAGAGCAAGCCACCTTCAAGCGCTGCAACTTCAAAATGGGATAGTGACCAATGAATAATGGCATCCTTCGTCACATCTCCCATCATCTGGATTCCCAAAGTGGAAATATGATATTAGACAAAGAAACACCAAATAGACATTGGAAGGGAGGAATCCTCGCTGTTACAACAGAGGGACCCCTTTGTTTGTTACTTGGTGTTAAAGGGAAACCATCTCTTGAATCTTGAAAAAGCTGTACCATGCTCTTGTTTTGATGTAGTTGATGCTAAAGGGGCCCACTTTCTCAGAACAACGAGTCCCGGAATTGGGTTTGTGGCGCGACCTGAGGACTTGGACGCGTCCCTGCCTAGATCCAGATCCTGAGAGCCTCTTCCTGCCGAGTCATTGGAACTGGCCCTCAGCCCGCGTAGCTCCTGCGACATCTCTTTTGCTACGTCTGGCTGTGGCTTTCTTTGCTCCAAAATGGAGCCCCTGTGAATGAACACTCCACAAAATAGCTGCGGCTTTGCCGTCCTTGAAACTTGGGCTATGCATGCGCAGAGTTAAAACAGGGAATCTTCGATCCACGTTTGGGAATGACCTCAACCGGGTGGTAAGATTACTCCGTTCCAAACTATCGCAGTCGCTTCAAAACAGATTTTACATGTCTGACCCAGCTGCAACTCAGGGGGCCTACTCACAGCTGGATCTTGCCCGCAAAAAGGCGCTATGTGCTCCTGGCATAAACGCTAGTTCGTTCAAAACCACCGTGAAGGTCTCTATCTTCTTTGGGGCAAGGGACCCTGCTTGCCGAGCTTACAGCGAGTTCTTCAAGTGTTCCTTCCCATCAAGAGACTTTGGAACACGAGTCATTTTCTCGCTCAAAATGGGTGACCTTGGTCAACTTTAAAAGCCCATTTCAACCCAATGACGAAACGACGAAACACGCTCTGGAACCGTAACATTGCAAGTGAGCCAAACACTGCCCTGGTAGCCTCGACTTACCCCTGTGAGATGTTTGATTCGCCGGTCAAGGATTGAACAGACCCGAGGATCATGCAACATTACAAGTACGATATCTGGCCATGCACAATGCTCGGACCCCGTTTTGAGCATGTCAAGGGGTCCCAAACGAACAGGAGTGTATAGGCGGTGGAATCCAAACCCCGCATTCTTTTCCCAGTTCCCAGGAAAACAAATCCCCTTCAACCGAATGGGATTCACGACGGCTCACTCCCGGAGGCCAGAGGCGGGCTTCTGCGGCACTTCCACGGACTGGCAGCGCAACCCGATCCGCGGGTTTCACTTGGCAGAGCTCCTTTTGAGGATGGGAAGGGTGCTTCTCAAAGGGTCCCTAATAGGTGGTATCCTTACTTGATTCCCCACAAGACATGGAACCAAGTCCCCAGAAGTTGAGGCCTCCCAAATCTACCATCGAAAAGGGGTTTTTGACCAAACCTCATTGTTGGCGTCTTCCATCGGAACCAAGCGCTGCGAAACACTCGCCTATTGCAAAAGCAACTGCCGTACTGTTGGCCCAACAAAGAAGAGTGTTTTGACGGAACTCACCTTCGAAAAAGAGAACGTGACAATTACGCAGAAGACTGAACGCTCATGCCGCTCACATATGTTCACACCTTCCCTAAACATTGATCGAGAAGGCTCGTACTGATCAACTTCTAGCCAACAGATCTCACGACAATAGCGGTCGCGAGGAGAATCCCCCAGATCGACACCTGCCTTGATTGACCCTTGCGAATCTCTCGCAGATTCAGTACGGGTAGACCCGCAGTGCGCCCGCATAGAACCCCCGAAATGCAATATCTCTCGAGGGTTGTAGGTGTCCGGGTAGAGGGTGTCAGTAAGTCCTGGGGTTTCAAAGCCAAAGGGCCCTCCTCGCACCTCTCTCAGCTGCCCAGTGTCTATTCACGTCGATCGTTTCAATGGAAGGGTTTTTGGCGGGTACCCTAGAGCGACGCCAACAGAACAGCTAATTAAAAACTTGAAGGTCCAATTTTGGCACAGACCCACATTGGATCCACGAAAATATCGGGATCTCCCAAAAGAATTGGAGAGGAAAGCCAGCCAACATCTTGCACAACATGCTCGCGACTCGCAAGCTGCCCGTATGCCTCACTCTCGCTGAAGGTGAAGGAGGATTCCATGGTCGAGCGAAGGGAGGAGTTTGTCTGATAGTGTCAACATGTCACTAGCAGTTCCTGCTTTCTGTCGGGGATTCCTGCAGGATTGAGTGATCTGTACATTCAGGACATGGCAGCCAATCAACTGATATTGACATGTACTTGTGTTTGGCCGACCGGAAACTTCAGAACGGCCACGAGGATCCCGTGGCCGAACTTCTGCCGGGGATGAGCCCCTTGAATCACTTGCCTGCGGAGTGAAAATGCTTCAAATGAGACGAGACCATTTTGCATCAGGCTGAAGGCAGATGGCACTATTCCCTTTTAGTGGTTAAGTAATGAGGATAACTAAATAAAATCATAAATTGTGCCATGTATTTTCCAACTGCAACACGTTGGGGACGACTTCAATATGCAACTGATATAGCACCATCTGCAAAGGTCAGTCTGGAAATATAACCATATACCATGTTTTGTGGGGCGAATGAGGAGGGCTGGACCACACAGAAAACTAAGTCAAACCGGCTCCCCAGCAGTTGACTGTCACTTGATACTAGTTCAACAAATTTGTTTGTGTTGAATAGACCCGCGTGTTGTTGGAGAGTGGCGTTGCACTGTGTACCACCCTGCACATCTGTAAATGCGAATGAGTGTGTGTGTGTGTGTGCATGTTGCCGCATGTGTGTTGTGTGTGTGTGTATATGTGTGCGCGTGCGTCTGGTGTATGCGTTTGTGTGTGTGTGTGTGTGTGTGTGTCTGTGTGTCTGTGTGTCTGTGTGTCTGTGTGTCTGTGTGTATCTGTGTGTGTGTGGGTCTGTGTGTGTGTGTGTGTCTGTGTGTGTGTGTCTGCGTGTGGCTGTGTGTGTCTGTGTCTGTCTGTGTATGCGTGTGGTGTGTGTGTGTGTGTCTGTGTGTCTGTGTCTGTGTCTGTGTCTGTGTCTGTGTCTGTGTCTGTGTCTGTGTGTGTGTGTGCGTGTGTGCGTGTGTGTGTGTGTGTACTGTAAGTGTGTGCGTTTGTGCGTGTGAGAGTGTGTGTGTGTGTGCGTGCATGTGTGGGTAGTATACGGTATACGTGTGTGTGTGTATGTGTATGTGTGTGTGGATGTGCATATGCGTAGTGGGATGGATGGACGAATGGACGAATGGACGAATGGACGGATAGACGGATGGATGGATGGATGGATGGATGGATGGATGGATGGATGGATGGATGGCTGGATGGATAAATGGATGGATGGATGGATGGATGGATGGATGCAAGGATGCATGGATGCATGGATGCATGGATGGATGGACGGCTGGATGGATGGATGAATAGATGCATGCATGCACAGGTATCTGTGTGGCTGTGCACCTATGTCATCTACGCGTCTGTGTATCCAATGCACGAATGCATGCATGCATGTATGTAACTTACTCAATGTATGTAATGTATGTAAAGAAACGTGACGTATCGTACTGCATCGTACCGCAACATAATGTAATGCACTGTCCGTCTGTCTGTCTGTCTGTCTGTCTGTGTGTCTGTTTCTGTCTGTCTGTCTGTCTGTCGGTCTGTCTGGCTGTCTGTATGCATGTTTGTATGCATGTCTGTGTGCCTGTCTGCGCGAATGTATGTATGCAGGTGCGTATGTGTATTTGTATGTATGCTTGTATGTATGTGGGGGTGTGCACTACATCTACGCACCAATGTATCTCTCTGGCTGTGTATCGATGTATATACGCATCTATGTAACTATGTATTCATGTATCTGAATATCTATGTATCCATGTACCTATTGTATATGCACACTTGTCCATACAACATGCTGAAGGCATTGCAAGCCGAAGGGACCTCGTACTCGTCGGCGGAGCAGGTGCTGAAACCGGGCCGAGCCTCCTTCAAGCGCACCGCAAAGGCGGGCAGGCGGGGAATGGATCGCCATGGTCGTGTCAACAATCAGTTAGTATACCCGGAAGTCCATGTGCTAACTGATTGTTTCGTAGGGCTGTCGTGTGCTTTGCTCCGGATTGCTCCAAGTTGGAAATTCTCTCTGTTTGGAAGTACTTACGGGAGCCACTCCAATCCGGATTATCAACATTACTTGACAACATTGTCGTGCAAGACATGTCCCCTGGGGCCCAACAAGTGCCTTGATCTCATCCTTGCCGCATCTCTTCCGCCGACCCGCGACTCGGAACATCATGCCGCGGAAGTCTGAACAGTCTGAAGACCGTGGGTTTAAACAGCCGAATCCAGTCTTGAGTCCACCCGATGGATCCCATGGGCCAGCTGTGGGCCAAGCGATGAGGAGCCCAGGAAAATATCACGGCTCTAAACCCCATTTTTCACTGGAAGTTACAGAAGCTTGGAAGACGGTCCGTTGGAAGGACCCAGTCCATTCTCATTGACAAGAGACTTCATTTTCACCGCTGAATTGCCGCAGCCCCAAGCAAACCAAGAACCAGCAAGGGGCGCCCATTCATCTGCAAGGAAGCCAAGGGGGCACCATTGCGATGGCCTCATGGCCCTCGGCGGCCAGCAAGGGAGCCGCCCAGTCCTCATCGCCGGATGAAACAAGAACATTTCACAGTGGGTTTGAATGTTGTCAGCGCACCCTTCTCAGGTTGCTTTAAAAGGAAGCCAACATAGGACAAAAAAGGCCGGCTTTTGTGCGGATTCTTCTCCATTTTGACACATACCCATATTTGTGATGTTTAAATCCCCTAAGCTGGGTCTGAAAAGAAAAAATAGCCATCCCTTCAGGTTTCCCGCTGGGCAAACTACAACTAATACGCAATTTAGCACCCGTTCAAGTGAAACTCACCTGCCCAAGAGGCAATGTTTAAACCCACAAAGGGAATAGGGAACCCGAAACGAAAATGAGGGCTCCAAAGGTTCGGGTACAAGACAGGCCTTGTGTCACCAACAAGGACCCGCAAGAAATAACTTGCTGGTAAGGGAAAATGATAGAACCCCTCCCACCCTCCCCAAAGCCTATCCATCCAATCTACCAATGCACAGAGCTTATAAATGGGTTTGTCCCCAAAACATTTTTTTTTTGGGGGGGAGTTGAAAGGCAAGTCTGGCACGCTGAACTCGCCTTACCAGCCTACCTCACGAAGGGTGACCAGCAAGCTGGACACAAAAAAACATGGGACATGGGGGCTCAGAAACACGGCTGCAGAATGTGTGTCCAAATGGGCATTTGGACCCCAAAAACGGACTTGTTCGTGGTTTGCCTTCAAACCAACCTGAAAAAGGTACCGTCCTAAAAGCACAAGCCCAGATGCTGTACAATTCATCGATTCTTTCGAGCTTCATACTAGGACAAGCCTTCCCCCACAAAAAGAAACAGCTTTCCCGTCGCCTGCTGATACAGGCCCTTCAATGGTTGTGATACTCGGGGTCTCAAACCTTTGTTCAACTCCATTCCGCTCGGATCACAGATTTGGCTCCACTCTGTTTGCGTGGCTCCAACCACCTAACTGTCGGGTTTGGCACCAGTCTCAATCATGAAAACATATGTGCTGCGTCTTCCGGAAAATCGCCCAAATGCACGGCACCGCAACTGAGCGATACCGCCTTTCGGCTGCGTTTAGGCTTTTGCCCCCCCCCCGCCTCAAAAAATCAATAACGAACGGTATGATTCCCTGACATGGACATTTGAGTGAAGCAAACAGAGGCGGCGATTGCTCTATGCATTCACACCAGAAAGGTGTCAAAGAAGGCGAACCGTTTGCTAATTGAGGCAATATCAGTCCTTGTATCTGGGCTTGTATCTGGTCGCTTGTCTGCTTGCAAGCTTACCTACGGCAGGTGCTGTGAGACTGGTTTGAGCATCTCAGATAACGTGCTGAAATTACACAGGTCTTGGTGTGCCTGCTCCCACCAGCCAACATGCTCCCGGCTGAGCAACATCTCTCGGCTATTTAGTCGGATACTCGGCCCTTGAGGCTCCACGAAACAGAGACAACACTTGGGACAGGGGCAGCTTTCTCCATGACCCTGCCAGGTTGCCTTTGGCGAACGCCCACTTTGCTCTGCCATTTCGGATTCCCACCCGCCGTTCCTGGAAGGCGCCCAGCTGGCCGTGCCAGAAGGGCAGTCCATGCCACACCTCCAAAGCGGTCCCGGTCACCAGGGTCACAAAGGCTGTTCACGTAAGGCTGCTGCATTTACTCGAGTCGGTGGATAAAAAGTCAAGGGTGCGGGCCCGGTAGACTTGTTGAATATGTTCGTGAGACGTGGCGGGAACCAGTTGTTCGCTATAACTTGGCTATAACTCGCCCAAAAAAACATCGTATCTCATACGCTCGAAAAGATCTGGCGACGAGTTCGGCTCTTCTTTGAGTACGGCTAGTGTAGGGTTAACCAATTGTGGGCGCCAAGATGCTTGTTCAACTGGCAGGTACAATTAGCTTCTCTGTTTCCCTGCTCAAGGCCTTTGGCTACTCCTTGTTGCGGCTGAGTTATCGCTGGGGAATTGGGCGCACCTGAGCATATAGATGGAACGGCTTGATTGAAATCCAACTAAGGATGATGATCTGCACATGTTACATCAGTTCTGAACATCTGAAATGCGGGATCCCTAATAAAGGATCCCTAATTCATAGTGAGCTCGCACTGCCCTCAACAAAGCCTTCACGCTCGCCATAAAAAAGGCAGGCTGTGCAAGCGTGCACAACATACAGCATGGCTTCGGCCACAAAAATGATTGCTAGCTTGGTGGGCTACGTGGGCTGAAAGCAGGCCCCGAAAAGGTAGAAGACATGTGACATATTGCTGTATGACCCAGACCTTTGGTGGCCATAGGAAAAAAAGATCATTTGTTTCGCAGTTTATCTCAAAGTGAAAGAGCCTCTTAAGCAAACAAACAACGAGCTGCGCCGTAGGTCTGGGATGAAGGTGGGAGCAGAATGATGAGGTGTGTGCAGTCGTAAGTCCTGTCGCTTCCCCCGACGATTGAAATGACAATCCGACTCATGTGCTTTGTGCAAGTACCTCTCTCTCTCTCTCGCTCTCCCCCCCCGTCCAACTCAAA